AGAGAGAGTGGGAGAGAGTAAGCACCAGCACTCTTTTGCAAGAGCTCTGAAGAACATGTCAGTATGATCCTAACAGGCATCTGGAATAAAAATGCTCAGTTGTCTGGGTACATATGTAAATTCAGCAATACCTATCCTTTCGGACAGATAATATATGCAGGCCTCTCTACAAAGGAAAGTATAATTTCACAGTATAAGTTTCCACATAGTGCTCTGAAAATAGAGCAGCTTGGAAAATAGCAAGAATACATTTAGTTAATCATATGGTTTTGTTACCAAACTAAGCTGCTGCTACATGAAAGCATCAATTTTCCCCCAAAAAGCTAGCAACCTTTGTCTTGCATCTCAATTGCCAACCGCAATGCTATTGCATCCCAACACACATATATTTGCTATTACTGCAGAGAATGACACACATCTTCAAGCCAGTATCAGATGAGACAGAGGAAAGAAAAAAGTATGAGAGCAAATATCCTTGAGACTCCTATGATCACAACCTGATAGCAGCAAACTGCACAACCCATAAGATCATTTCTTTCTAGGACTCATTGCACAAGTATTACTTTCCTATGCCACCTCTAAGTAACCTAGTTGGGATGTCCATCTAATGTACCACATTCCCATATTAAGAGAAGACCGCTAAGAGAAATTTTGAGGAAAACGGCTGTAAAGATAGTTACAAAGAAAGAGGAGTTTGATGGTAAAACCTACCTGAAGTAACCTTTCTAGACATCATCTTTGCATTCTTCTGCTGCTCCATGCATTACTAATCAGTGACCCACTAGAAACTTCAGCACCCATTGAAAAGCCTGGCAGGGTATTTGGCTTTCAATTCTTCTACTCAGTTTATTCTCAACACAAGTATATTCATCAGGCTTAAAAACAACTCTTGAACAAGGGCAGCCACTCAGCAATGAAATGTAAATTACTGACATGTGCTAAAACCTGCACTTGCCACTGCTAATGAGCACATTAAAGAAAAAAAGCTCACTAGATATTACTGCAACCTTTTCACTTAACCCTGTGTGTACTGAAAGCCATAATTTAGTTACAATTTAAGAACCCACCTCTAAACAGTAAGCCACTGTTCAGCAGGTGTATGCTTCCTATAGAGTTTCATGTAAAAATCAGAATGATGGACAAATGTGTACACACTGATAACAGCTTTATTTTTGTTTCATTAAACTTTTCAAGAGATCAGTAAAAAAAAAAAAAAATCACATGACAACATACATAAATTGCCAACTTTACACAATTAATAGTGTCAAATCTTAGCTGATCAAATAAAACAGGATTATCTACCAATAAGCTCCAAGGTTAGGAACTCAACTTGTAGCAACTTTTCCCTTCCTATTATACTCACAGGGAGTTGAAGACCCTGAAAATCATCTTCTCCAAACAGCAATGGCCTGCTGAGTCACAGAAAACACCACCTTTGCCTCCACGGCATCTGTGCAATAAAAGCCCTACTAAATATACCGTCACTCCAAGTTTCAAAGCTTTCAATAATTCAGGCTAGCAATGTTTCAAGAAGTTACTGTAAATTTACATACTGGAGAAGGGGGAAAGACAATGTTTGGTGAAAACCATTCTGTGAACCCCCTTCGTATTTTGGGGTATGAAAGAACTTAATTAAACAGACAGTCTTTAAATAAGTTCTTTAAATGCTCCTATTAAATAACATTTTTGATAATGATACATCATGAACAGATTGCATTAAGAACTGACTTTTCAAAACGTAAATTAGGTACCTAAATCAGCCTAAATTAAGTACCTAAATCCCTTTCAGTAAGGTTTCTGTCAAATACCAATTCAGCTATAAATAAGTTAAAAGTGTATCAATGTCAGTTGCCTTTTTTTTCCCCCTCATACCCCTATAACCCTAATCCCAAGATAGCATCCCTTTGAGTTTACCTCCATTCCAAGTCAGGCAGAAACCTAACTTGACTCTGCTATAATGAGCTGTACTAGCTTAAAGACTTTAATACGGTAGGAGTTGGGAGCAAGAGATATGTGATGTGTTTAAACAAAGATAATTTTAACAGGTTTACAAAGTGACTACATGTCACTGTCATTCCAGCATATCCAAGGAGGGCAATAACTGCTCATGGGGACAGACAATAACAAGCCACTGGGAGCAGTAATCTCTTCAGGCAGCATGGTCACAATCAGAACAGCAATCTGACCACACGCTTAGTAACCTAATCTTCAGGAGCTGAACACATGAGTTGGCCTTCAAGGAGCAAGTCAGAAGCACATACTAGGTTCTGCACAAGTCACATCACCCACCTTTAGGAAATCAACTTTTATATTTCTGTTAATTCAAAACTTCGTTGCTGAAAACATTCCAAGTGCTAAGTATTTTAATGACTTTCTCCATAAACACATGCATAACTCCAGCAGGAACTGTTCAATCAACACAGTACTTTACCAATGTTATTGATCACAGTCATTCAGACTGAAATACAAATGAATGAAATATGCTGGGAAAATACAGAGCTTATTTATAAGCAAATCTACAAATACAATTAAAGTGAAAAGGTAGATACACTCATAATAATGGGTGGGAAGTCTTAAAGTTCCAGAGAATTCCTTAGAAGATTTGCAAAATGAAACACTAAGCATGATTAGGTGGCTGCAAGCAACCTATTAAATTCTTACTCTTACCTAGGGGTCATCATTCCTGTTGCACTCACTAAAGCCTTTTGCTGACAAAATCTGACAAACCAGGTACATTACTATTAAGTAGTGCTTATGTTGATATGCGTTCATAGATTTATTTTTTTTTGTTTGAGCAACTCTCCCATGAGGAAAGGCTGAGAGAGCTGGGACTGTTCAGCCTGAAGAAGGCTCACAGGGAGCTCAATGTACCTGAATACAAATACCTGAAGGAAGAGTGCAAACAGGACAGAACCAGGCTCTGCTTAGTGGTGTCCAGTGACAGAATCAGAGGCAACAGGCAAAAGCTGAAACACAGGAGGTTCCCTCTGAACATCTGGAAACACTTTTTTGACTGAGGGTGGCCAAATACAGTTGCCCAGGGAGGTTGTGAAGTCTCCATCCTAGGAGACAGTCAAAAGCCTTCGAGACATGGCCCTGGCAACCAGCTCTGAGTATCCCTGCTTGAGCAGAGGTGTTGGACCAGATGACCTCCAGAGGTCCCTTCTAACCTCAAAGTACTACCTATATAAAAAAAGAATTACATAGCATTACACTGTCAAGCCTTCTGTTATTGCAATGAGGAAAAACACAAGCATATATGGTTGTTAACAGAATTGCAATTGAGGAAAGAGAGTAATAAGTTTTTTTTCTCACAACTAGACATAGCAACAGTGGGGAAAAAAGAGGACAGAACAAAGGATTTCAGAAGAAACACGAAGGATTCTGTAAACCTGGAAATAAGTGCTATTGCAGTAACACTGCATGTCAAGAAAAAGAATTTTTACAAATTAGAAGTCCATAAATCCATTCATTTGCAGAACCACACACCCTAATAAGTGTGTCAAGCCAAAGTGCTGCTGTTGAAAGGCATCTCATGGGAAATACTAAATGACTTACAATAGTCCAGATAGGCAAAAATCTCTCTAATATCTTCTCTAATCACATGCACAGCATTAAATTATTCCAGAAGTCATACGAGCCCACAGTTCATCCACCAACAGCCTCAAGTTACTGGTCATTGCTATTTAAATTGAGAGGGTTTGTGTTTGCATTTTTCCTAAGGACAGTTGCACATGTTAAAGCTTTCAACCCAAGCCAACTTAAGAAAATAGGCAGCTTTAAAAAATACAAGTGAAAAATAAAGGCTTACTGTTAAGCGATAAGGGAACTTCACAATTTGCTCACAAATAACAGCCATGCACAACAATTGTAAAGAAACAATCCTGAGACTCCCATAATTAGATATGCATATGTTGTAGATCCACTTGCACAAAGCTCTTCACAGGTCAGACACATGTACCCTTACAGAAGATGACCAGTTGCTATTTGGCTTACCTTTTCCTTCTCAAACTTAGCAGCCATTTACAAACATGTGATCAACCATTTCCATATACATTGTCTGACCATTTATTTCAGACAATACACTGTTGGGATTTTTAATTCCACCAAGAATGTTAATCTAGCTTCAAAGGTAAAGAGAAACAGCACTGTCTGCTTTGTTGTCCCCTTAGTCACACCAAACAGTAGTTGCTAAAAGGGCACAAAAGACATATAAAACCAGGTATCACTCAGAATGCCAAGAAGGTTCATATCTTATTCCAAAATTGAATCCTTTTGTCCCACCATGTTTATGGTTTCTATTGCAAGGAGCAGATTTTGGGGGTAGTAGCTGGTTATTTTTTTGTCAAGAAACAGAGCATCAGAATATTGTCAAGGTTGCATTCAAAAAAGAATATTCCAGATAAAGGTCACATTTGTAGCTTTAACTCTTATCATTTTGAGATTGTTCTATGCACATATTAAATCGTTTTCTTGGAGAAAATACATCACATCACCTTTTATGAAAGCAGGAACTCTATCATATACATGCGTCCAAGACACTAAAATACTCTGAAGATTTATGATCTTGAAAACTGGTATTTTTCATAGACTTTGCAAAGGAATAATTTAGTTGATTTTTTGTTTGTTTTGTTTTGAACAGTAGCTTCCCAAGAGACTTTCATGGCAGTTGGGAAAGTGAAGTTCATTTGCGTTTTCCATTTAATTAAAAAGAAAACTGATCCCATTGTGACCAACTGACACACGGAGTCACCGTGGATCATGGTTCGTGTTTGTAATCATTACAAGGAAGCACGAACATAAATAACCTCAACTACTTGCTGCTAACATCAGCTAGACCATAAGAAGCAACATTGACTGTGAAATAATGACTGTGTAACACAGTTACACACTTCCTTTCTCTCACTCTTATCTCCCCCATATTCTTCTGCACCCAGATTAAAAAAAAAAAGAAAAAAGGAAATAAGAGTCACTGTGACCATGGGCCAACCCCAAACTATTCAATAGGTGAAGAGACCTGACTCAGCACTCCCATCCCCTACCAAAACAGCTGCCCTGGACGTCTGCAAGCAAGAAAAGAAACATGGCAATTTCAGAAAAGTGTATCTTTCAACTACAGGCCAACCAAAAGGTTCACCTTAGTCTCAGGCCTTTCTCCTTCCCAAATTCCAAAGGCCTGCTGAAGACAACAGAGGTGACAGAGCTTCTCAGAAAGGGTCTCCATTAATTTTATAACACGAAACAATAAGTAAGCTAACCTAAATATAGAGATCACTAGCAAATTCTTCTAAAGCACGAAGGAGCAAACTGATCTTGCAGCTCTGCATAGCATTTGGCAAAAGATACTGACTCTTTTTTTTTTTTCAGCGTGGCAAAAGATTTTAGCTTCACCTTTACATTTATGACAATATGGAATATTATGCAATTATCCCTTGAAGGACAGAAATTACTTACATGAAAATACATTCACATGCATAAACTACATGATTCTAAGAAACATTTGCACAAATCCATGTTTTGTCATTCTACATAATAGTGTTATCAGCTTTACGTAAGTTCATCACAAGATTCCATGTTCAAATACCAATCTTTAAGAGATTTATCTTAATGTTTATGAAATCTTTGACAGTCTTACTCAATATAAACGCCACGGATCTCTTTTCTGTCAGTCATCAATAGCAACCAAAATAGATACACATGAAGAGGGAACTGAATGCACCAACTTTTTTATTGGATCACAATGAACAACATGTCAGATATTCATCTACTGATTGCTTTTTTTGATAAAGAAAAAAATAAAAACCAGCAATTTTCAATACTCCAAATATATCCATCCAAATTCTTCAAAAGTACTGCCTAAAGCTGTATGCTATTCCACAAATCATTCAGATAATAACGAACATAAAGACACACTTTTGTTCAAATCACACAAGTGGGATTACATGTGAACTGACCCTCCATGTGTTAATTGAAGACAAAGCTTTGCTTTGAGCTCATTACTGCTCTTACACATAAATTGGCAAGTTTAGAAAGTTTACTGTATTCCCTGGTTTCTGCATTTAAGTAGTTTGGTTTAAAAGTACAGGTGCACACCAGGAAATAAGCCCAGGTTTCACAAGTTCCAACACTACTTTCAGTAGTGTTGTACTTTCAGTACAAAAGAACAAAATAGTATATGCGCAAAGAAAGAGAGAGGGAAAAACAAAACAGAATGAAAACATCTTCAACTTTACAACAGCTTAAACACATTTGTTACTTCTTTAATAAAGAAACACCAAGCAAGTTTTCTTCCTAACTATATTAATCAGGGTATCTGGAAAAAATATAAGCAGCCCGAGTGATAAAAAGACAGATCACTTCACCAGTTCTCACTAGGGGTTTGATCTTCTAGAGCTACTGACAACAAGGGAAGCATGATTATGTCTTAATTGAGACTTTAAATAGTGCATTTCAGAAAGCAAAGTAGCATTACCTTGTTTTAGTATATTTTTAGAGAACTGAACACACCAGGTTTCTGAAACATAATTAAAGCTATTTTGAGACTGTAGCACCAACCCAAACTCAAACATGTTTCTAGTCACCACATTATTTCAGGAAATTGTTCAGAAACTGTTCCTAGATTCCGAGTGAAAAGATGAGAAATAGAAAGGGGCAGGGGATCCACAGGAATGTTTGTACTTCCTCCATTTCTTCTTAATTCTGCCCAAAAAAAGTGTTCCAGACTGTCACATCACCAAATAACAACCACACTATTAGGATATGCGCCCAGTTCAGAGTAATAACTACCAAATTTCAAAGTTTGGCAGTAAAATAAAACGCAAAATAGCATATGCAAGCACTTCTGTTTCATTAACTATTTTGTTATTAAAAAGCAGGAACTGCCAACTAAAGCCAGTTATCCTGCTGGTCTAATCCAGTGAGAACAGAGTTTGTTATAAATTAAGCCAGGAATCTTCCCTGTAGAAGAGCTTCTGGTACGTGAAGCAGAACAGTGATAAAAGAAAGCTGCTAAACTGCATGAAAATAACATGTAAGAGATTACCCCAGATTCGGTAAATCCTGGCAAACACCAAGTGTTTAGAATTCCTTTCAACTTAAACATTACCAGTACCTGGCAGGATTATTCAGCATCACATAGAATCTGCACTTGTTTTTATCTAGGGGCTTTAAAAAAAATGCCAGCAACTATGAAGTATGAGAATTTTTGGATTTCATTCTCCAGTAGTCTCCTTAATAAGCAGGTGGTGTTCTCTAACACCAAATAATCAACTAAATAGTAAGGATCTGTATCACAGATAGAACTCAAGCCAAAAGAGACATGGTTAAGGAAGATATGTGGAAACAAGACCTGTTCCACAAATGCTGAAGGTGAAAGAGCTATCACTTTAGAATCACATTCTTCATCTAAGTTTTTTACCCTGAATCAAAAAGGTGCAAATCATTCTCAAAACCAGAAACAAATTTATCTTGCTGCCTGTAAAACAAGATGTTTCTTCAGCTATATACTTCATTTACTCTGTAACAAAGTTGGTAATGCAATGGTTTTTTACTGTAAACTTCAATGTAATATGTGCTTGTCCTTATTCTGAGCAAAACCAGTAGATAATAACACAAGATGTGCAGTGACTACACATACAGTACCCACTCAGGACTTTGTTCAAACATTGTGCATGTAACTTTCTCCTAGCAATGCTCAAATTTATAAGCAGCTGCATGAAAACTTTTGGGAAAAAAATCAAATCAGTAAAAAGGCCATATATCAGTCTGTGATATACAAAAACCCTACTGAAGAGGTTTTTAACAGTAATTTTTATAAATTCAGACATGAAGTGAAAACAGCACCCTCTTGGCTCTTTGGCCCTTTCAGAGAATGCAGCTCCACGATAAAATACCACCAGCAGAGAAGCCAGTTTTTAAACAGCTTTCTATTCCCATCCTGAAGTGCAGTTCAGCACCTTCTCGGGGCTGCTGATACAGCTGTTCACCAGCTGTGCTATGAATCACCAAAATGATCACTTAAAACCACATACTTTCAACCTAGATGATTTCAGTGACCCAGTTTTGCAGAGCAGCCTCATAAACAGTACAGGCATAAGTGAAAATGCCAAAAGGTTCTTACATCCTGGATAAGGTTCTTACAAACAGGCATCTCCTCTTTTCCCAAAAGAAAACACAGGCTGCAATTACACCCTCAAAGTGCAAGAAGTCCACATGCACAGAAAGCATACTGAAATCTCCTATCTTATGGTATCTTTTAGATCTGCTCTAAGTTATCTCGATTCCTCAGATACCTCGGAATGAATATATGCCACCTAGTGCAGCAGTCACAGCTAAGAAAATAGAAATAACTTACCAAACGTCTAGCAAATTCCTTATTTTCTGAAAGAAATCCATATCCTGGGTGTACCTTGGAAGACAAAAAAAAAAAATTCAAGCTGATTGAGTTCTGAAACCAGACACCAAACTTGTCAGCACCTTTTCAGATACTGGGGAAGGCGAAGTAGATCACTAAGCATTTAAATAGGTCGAATACCTTAAAGAAACTATCTCAACACACTGATTTATCTATCCTAAGTCAAGCTGTTGAGCTAGCATTTCTGAAGCAAACATTCCTTACTTAACTAGGGAGAAAGGGGCTGTTTGAAGAGCAATGAACTTTGGTGATCTGCTTTCTGTCTAAATTTTTAGCTCCATTGCAGATTTCCACATGTATGTTCATCCATGCTCTTCTCAATAACCACCATAAAGAACTCCTAATCCCAAAATATTTCCAGCACTGACCACAACAGTGGTGCACAGGTCCACAGTAACAGGAGGTCACTCCAACCTCTAGTGACCCTTGCTGGAGAGCACAGTACAGGGTCTTCAGCTGTCTAAGTGAAGCACCCTGGTTTGCTACGCGCGTCCCAATATAGACCCAGTGTAATTACTTGAGATGCGCATGGGAAAAATTTTCATTTTACTTCTCACAATTCACATAAGGTTCTTGATCTAATACTCTGATAGATAAAGTATAAGCCCTTTTATTCCCCTCTTTTAAAAAGAGCCAATATTCAGTTCCAGATTCAGAGTTCCAGATTCAGAAACTCAAAGGGAAGATAATATTTTTTTATTTATAGGAAAGGTTTTGGCCCCTGAAAGCACCATAGCAAAACATCATCTTTGAAAGAAGTTACAATGCTGATCAAACTGTTCCAGGGTAATTAGTGTTGCTCATATATACACAAATTTTATTTTAATAAATGCTCTGTGTAGAGTAGCTCTGAATAATACATTTATTTCGCTGACAGAACAAAGAACATTAGGCATGTGAACACAACTACATATTAGTTTTTCCAACTGATTCCTGCTAAGCTTTGAATCTCTGGCCAATTTGGAAGAAGAAAGGCAGACTAGCCCACATTTACACACAAGCTCGTGTGCATTTTATAAACGTTCTGAACCAAAAACAATTACAGGATGCACTATTTACCTTACCATCCTTCAAATAACATTTATATAACATAGAAAGTAATTCAAACTAAGTTTAGGCAAAAGCCTTTCTGGACACACTTTGTAAAACATTCAAAAAAGCCATTATGGCATATAAAGGGTTAGCGCTTAAAACTAATTGGGATTTTTTTTTTTCCCCCAGCAAATTTGGAAATGAACTGAAGCTGCTCCCTGGTGTGAAAGCTGAATCCAGCAGCCACCTGCAGGATCAGCGACCAGTGCTGCCAGATGCTACAAAGCCTTTGATTTCCAGTAGCGATTTCAGACACATTTAACTCATGTGACATGAACTAACTGGAATAGCATATTCAATCACTTCCCCCCCAACACCTTAAAAAAAAAAAAAAAATACAAACTCTGGCTTTTCTGCTTTCTATATATGAAACAGCTGCAGCAGATAGACTCATTCAGACTCACAGCTTGGGCCCTGGTTTTCCTAATGACTTCCATGATGGCATCCATGTTGAGGTAGCTTTTGCTGGTGGGAGCTGGGCCAACACAGACAGATTCATCCGCCATTTTCACATGAACCTGAAGAGGCAATATTCTGCATTAACAGATGCTCCCAGCAAAAATAATTACCATCACCCAGTTACATGCACACAAATCTGATTGTTTCAGAGATAATTTACATACCATAACCACTCTAAAATGCACACTGAAATTACCAACACTGACATACAAGTACTTGCACAATAAATCTCATTTCATTTAACTCTGAGCTTAAGTCACTGTCAAAATGTTTTATTATTCCAATATATTATTTTTAATTTGATTAAATAAAATCATGAGAAATATAATTTCAGCTTCCTATACTGATCATCTATATGTAAATTCAGACAAAAACTACTTTGTTACATGTAACCAGGGTAGTCTAATATCTTAATACTTAATAACAAACATTCATGACCAGTTCTAAGCAGGCTCCCCAGGAAGTTGGGGATAATTAGAGTGAATTGAATGAAGGGATGCAATGAGTGTCCCTGCACAGCATCAGGTCAGCACCATGCACAAATTAAAGCCTATGACTAAAGAGTTCAATATCGCTACACACGAACCAGAAAATCTTGAGAATTATTTAAGCAGGCTCATGTTTGATTCCTAATTCATTGTATACTTATTTTTATGCATTTGCCAAATACTTTTAGTTAAATACAAAAGGGACAAACATTTCCAACGTTTTACCAGGAAAAATAAAATAGCTAGATTTGAAGTTAAAAGTCTACGTACAACTTACATGCACACTTAACTTTAAGAAAAGTTTTGAAAGTTTAATTAGATTGGTCTTTAACGTGCTTTCAGAGTTCAGAATACTTTCTTTGTAGTAAAATACACACAACCAAGAAACCAAACAACCAGTTTTATCTCATTCTGCTTTTTGTAAGCTCCCTTTCAGTGTGTATTTAAGAAAGCATGCCATTGCCTAAACTGTGTAAGATTATTAGCTATGTCAGTAAGACTTGTTTGGAATGACAATTTGACATTTCCAATGCTTACCAATTTTAAAAGCTATTTTATGAACTATTTGATACCATCTTCAGCATTTGAAACTGAAAATACATTGTCTAAAAAGGGTGTTCTTTTAGAAGATGAGTATTAACATAGGAGAAACAAAATATTTTTGGTTTATAAACATGAAATTTCATTCTTTGTGAAAAGGAATTTAATTTGCAAGTAGTACGAAGGCTGTCAAGTATGACAAACTAGTAAGAAGTAAAGTAGCCTGCATACACTATTGGCTCATTCAGAAAAAGTAAGGCCAGAAAAAAAATTATCTAGAAACACTGACAAGCAATAGTCAGACAGTATTTTGAACAACACAATGAGAAGTATGTAGTCAGGTAAATATAATAAACATGTATCAAAAGGACAAGAGTCCTTATTAAGCATTTTTTCTTCTGTTTTAGTGACTTTTTCTGAATTTTGCAAAAGTTAATCCCAGAAAGGAACATTAACTTGCCACCTAATCCGAAGTTTCTTTCTGGAGGTATGTCTTAAATAGCTTCTGAATTTGCTATATACTCAAGTATATGAGAGTTCACATAATGTCCTGGAATTGCCGCACATTTCACATTTGAATTACTGCTTCTGTAAAGTCACAACGGTTCTGTTTTACCACTGCAGCATTAGCCTCGCACTATAAACAGAGCAAAACCAAAACAAAAAATCCTAAGAACTAGCACAGACAATCCCGCAGCAGGATTTTAACGTTTTCTCTTAAGTACACCTCCGCAACTAAGTCAGCAATCTATTTTGACCAAATGCTATCAAGACTAGCCTGTCATCCTTCTTACAGCAGTAAGTTCAAGAAACAGCATGGCCCCTGAATACCTTTATATTCACGATCAATTTATATGCTTTAAGTTGTTTTGAATTCCAATGTGGTTTACATGTCTAAACAACGTCATTCAAGATTAAGCTTAATTAAGCATGTATGTTTTACAAAACCAAAAGCTTCCTTACAGACAAGAACTAACTTAACATAGTTAGCTACTTTTAGGTATTAAGAGAGAAACTCCACACCCACACACTGAGACACCAACACAGTCCTACTACTACAAAGAGCAGCCACTGAAGAACATCAGAATGAATACTATTACGTCATGTAACTATTTTTGGATTAAGGTACAAAGTCAACTGGAAACAATTTTAAGTACTACAACTATTTTACTGCATAAGTTTTCCTGACCACAAGAACTAGCTCAAGTCCAACAGGCTTATTAATCCAGAAGCAAACTGCACAGAAATGGCCACTAGTTCCAAAGCTAGTTTAGGTCCAGGAGCTACCTTCACGGCAAGGCACCTAAATCAGCAAATCCTGCCAGATCTTTACACAGGAACAGCTTCGTGTTTCTTCACCACCTTTCCAGCAAATAGGCAAGTAAAGCAAGGAGTCTATCAGGGCTGACTAGCCAGTCATTTCTGGCTTGGACTGGTTCCAAACACTGCTCCAGGCTGCAGCAGCTCTCAGGGTTCAGAGTGCAGTAAGAGGTAATAACAGGAACAGCAATTTGTTTCAGAGACCCTTCTACATCATATTTCAGTATTTCAGGAGGATTTATAAACCAAGGTTGGTGCCAGGGCTTGCCACTACACCCCCGAAGACAAATATGTCCACAACCCAAAGTTTGGTATATAAGCACCACAAAAACAGTCAATGTCTGCTTTGCAGGAGATAACCCAATTTAGTAGGGTTGCATGGAACCAGAGCTTGTAAGTACCCAAATTACCTAGCTTATGTTAGCTCTCCTTTACCCTGGAGAGTGGCACATATATTCATTTGACAGCAACATGCTCTCTTGCCTAGCCATACTCTTAATTTATTGAGTTATCCCTGTAATTAAAACTGTATCTCAAATAATCATGATTTCAAGATATCAAAATTAATAACTTTATACCTAAAATATACGTAGGTCTCCTAGAGATGTTCTGTTTCACACAGCAGAATCAAGGTAACCTTCTTCAGGAGTCACTCAGCTGCTGCAGATCACTAGTTGAAATCTATATTATTTACAATGCATATTAAATATGCATGCCTCTCAACACTGCAACATAGAAAAGTTTTCTCAGTATGGATATAGAATGTATTAAAAATTACTTTAAGGCAAGGAACTAAACCACATTCATATGCAATGCATATGCAATCTAACCACTTAGTTTTAGTGCATATGAATATATAAACAAAGACACCAAGATAATTTAAAGATCCCTAGTACGATAATTATTCAGCAACTCCAGAGTTTGTTACCTTCATGTGGACCTGGTTCATGACAAAACTGTTTTTCTTCCCAATTTGTTTCACAGTGATTCTCATTTACTAATTCCAAAAAGTAAAGGCTGACTTTGAGAGCCAACAAAGAAAAATACATCTACATGCATTTCCTAACAGAGTGCTTAATACCACCTGCCTAGTTTCCAGAGATTTTATATACTTCAGCAGTTTCTGAGGCTTATCATGTGACAGATGTAATGTACTTCAGTGTAAATGCCTAATTAACACATACACACACACACTCACTCCCCTTCTCCTCCATCTCCAAGGCGGTAAATGTCTGGGATTCCCAAGTGTCCCAGTTTTTCAGGGTGGGTCAGCCTACACATCCCCAGATCTCAATACAACTTGATATTCACTCAGCAGAGACAGTTATACTGAGTTGCAAGCTGTATTTCCCCCCTAATTCTTTTGTACTGCTTCAGAATTTATATTATAGGTCAACTCTTATAGATGCATTTACAGCTGATCAAACCTAAGGAGCAATTAAAAAAACCTCAATGAAGAGAACACTTTTGCTTGGTATACTAGATAAGATCAAGCATTGTTTAGACAAAGAAATCTAATCAAACAAAGTCATTCTCCTTTTATAGCTCAAATCAATATTACACATTGGAACAACATCCGTTGGTGTAAGTGGATTCACTTAATTGGCCCAAACTGCATAATACGCTCAGCAAGACAAATGACAATTAGCTCAACCCATAAAATAGGGCTAATGAGTAAATCCTTTGTAAGGTAGCTAAAAAAAACGCAACCACCTCAAATCTTGCCAGCACCACTGCCAAAAGAGACAGACAAAACAGAACAAAAAACCTGTGACATTTAACAGCCTTGAGTTCAAAAAAAATCAAATGGATGCAAAAAAGGTTCAAATTTACTGGTTTGCAAAAACACATTTTTCATGTGACTTAGGTGTCTTTAGCAGCTTCACACTAAAATACACACAGGAATAATACAATAAGTCTGAGCACACAGTGTGCAGTATCACACAGCCTTTAAAGTGCTGTCTGCAAAGAAATACTGCCACACGATTACAGCATTTAACCTTAAAATAAAATAATGGAAACATTTCTATAGCACATGAAAAACAGAACTGTGAAAGGCACAAATAGCATAACTATCCCATATTTTCCATATTTCTTTTTACTCAGCATTTCAAAAACCTAAATAAAAATTTATGCAAATAAACAAGCCAATCTACAGAGTCCGCAAAAGTAGATTTCTCTGCAAGCCTATTTTAAAACATTTTAATTTGATGGTCCACAGTTATGCAAGGACTATGTAAAACAATTCTTCAGTGGTCTTCAAACATGTTTTGGTGAAGGGTATTTACTTACAATCCCCTCCAAGTCTACAATGACCCTCAAAACAGCCCATCCATTAGCATCTGTGGGATTAGATCCCTGATTGGTGGACACCAGCTGAGAACAATAAATGTGAAAAAAAATAACCCCCTTTCCTTTACTTCCCTGTCTTGCCGTTCAAGTTTGCCAGCTGGTCAAAACCTGAAGATAGTAATAGCCTCATTAACTAGAGGCCTCAAAAATCCACCAATTTCAACTAAAATTAAAATGAATGGATCCAGGTTGAACTGAACAGTCTTTAAAAGACAATATAAACCAGGTGAGGAAGACTGCATTTCTAACCAAGACTAAGAGAATGCACTTTTCAACACACATCAAGATTTTCATCTGTTTGCACTCTCACTTATAAACACTGATTTATTTTTATAACCTTTAAAAAAGAGAAAATAATC